GAGGCAAAGCACAAGTCCTACCTCCGTTTCATTACAAATCATCAAAAAATGCAGCAATTTGGATTCGTATTAGTATTTTGAAAATATTCAAAATTTCGTTTCCAGAGAGATAGAACAGGCTTCCAGGTCACGTTAATTCGGACGAGTAGAATTTCTGCTCGATGCTTATCTCTTATTGTGTATAAATTATACTTTACCTGAACGTATATTTTAAGTTGTGTTAAGTCCATGATCGTCTTTATCGGTAGCCGCTATCACACGATCACCACAACTTAGATATCAGTTTCCGGCAGGTATTGTGTGAGGCGGATGTCAAACGCATCTGTTTGGTAGAAAAAAAGTGATCAAATAGTCATTTGAGTCTATAAAAGTGTTATAGAAGTAACTACGTGACAATTATATAAATTAAGGGCGGTTAAAAATCGCATAGTTACTTCTATAAATCTAAAATGTTCGAATCTCTTATTTTTTTTTTTTATATTGACAAAGATTTTTCGTATGTAAATTGTCGATTAAAATATTTCGCAAAGTTCCTCGGATTGTTGATAAGTCGAAGTTGTTATTGTTAATTAATAATAAATAAATGAAAATAGATAAGACAAAACTTTAGGTCCTGAATTTGGTTCTAAATAAAAGCAAATGAGGTAGCTCTTTACTCTCATTAATTACTGTTTACGTACAGTTGCTTAATTTATAAATGAAAATTCTATGTAAGGTGTGCATGATTTGGTGTTACTAATTTTTTATTTGCTCCTAGAACATCAACGAATTTGCTGCCTTAAAATGATGTAAGAAAACCACTTATTTTTTTTTTACAATCATAAAATCGGTATACCTACATAGATCAAAATCAGAGTCAAGTTTACAACATCCAAGGATTCGAGAACGTCATCTAAACAGAACAGACTGCCTGTGCCGCAGCGCGCTTATGCACAAAAAAGCAACAACATCCGATGCTAAAAATAAGCTGTATAATTACAGCCCAAAGCTGAAAGCGCAATGCTTTTGCTGCATGCAGCGGTTGTACGGTTGCCCTTGACAACGGAGACCCAGATACTATCGCGTTCCACGCACACCCTCACGCCTCACCCACACATAGACGTACAGACGAATCTTTGCAATAGGTACACAGAGTACACACGTCCGAAGCGAGTTGCGTTCCGTTTCGAGCTTTTTAAATTCTTTTCTTTTTAAGAACGTTCTTTGTGCAAATGTACAAAAGAGTTTGCGTTCTGATTTTTGGTCGGCCGGTCTTGATCGTTTTGTCGCTGATGTAATGTAATGACTCAAGGTTCTACCGAAACGCTTTTGTGAAAATTTCTTGACGAGCTTTGAAATATGGTAGTATTAGTAAACAAAAATACAAACCACTGTTTACTATGATATAAATACGAAGCAGTCAATCAGCTATAAGGTGATCTATTGTGTTGTATTGTCAAAATATTGTTTCTATTACATAAATCTAGACTATTTTCATAGAAGAGAAAAAGGCAGTATTGAATCCTTTGATTTTACGACTTGGGTTACGTAGACAACAGAGGCGTAGTGAATAGAGTGTAAATGGAAACTTTTTTATTTTCTCCCTCAGGAAAATCCGCGAAGGCACTCGAGGGGAAGCGAAAAGTCGAAACGAGCGTGTTGCAATTTAGTCCCGTTTTATAGACCAAACAAAGGAGCTCTTTGATGTTCAGCCTTTGGCGAATTGTAGATATCAATCAAAACTGTTTTATCGTTTAGTTCTTCTAATTAGAGCCCTTTTTTGTTTGTTAAGCTGATTTATACCTTTTTATTTCTTGAAGAGTTTAGTACTAAGTTTACAATTTAAAGCAGCCTTGATGAAGCACAGCCTCTACAGAATTAAAATTCCATTCACATTTGACGTCACAGGCTCTACGGACGATGTGTGTCGATAGGATACTCGATACGTCAATAAAATATCTTCTTTCTTTAAATTTAGAATGGAACGTGACTAGAGCCGTCATCCAGACAAGGTAGTAAAAAGGACTGAATTATTTCAAATTTAGAAGGTGGACGTGATTTACCATTAATGAAATTCATTTATAAAAACGTTTATATTTAATAAAGCTTTATTTCCAGCCGTTTATTTTAAAAGACATTCTCATTCGTGAGTGACTGAAATAAATACGAGACTACATTTTGCAACATGATTGTATAAATTCGGTTATACAATCAGAAAAATGACGATCGTGAAATGTAGAATAGCTTACAAATTCCTTACCAACGGCCTCCTAAATAAACAAACATGCACATAAAAAAAATAAGCCACGATATTCTTGGAAACGGGGATTTACTAGGAATACTTTATTTACACAATATGAACTCGACATTACATTTTAAAAAATATCAATGTAGAGATTTTATAATTAGAACTAAAATGTATTGGAACATGTGTGGAAAACACATATTTACAGATACATGATAAATGCTAGAATAATAAAGATTAAACGAAAACGACACAGTTTCGAATTGAGGCGACTCAAAAATAGTTCCCTTAAAATAGTACATCCGAAATAGAGCGTACTATTAGCGTACCCTTCTATTAATAGTTACCTCTACGTGAAACGAGGATACAAAACGCCACGTTGCTGCGTGTATGGAAAGGTCTTGGCCGATTTACTTCCGTGTCATTATCGAATAGTCTCGTTCTAATTCACAAAGAATGTGGAAGTAAAAAAAATATTTCCAAATTCAAATATGTAAGGAAAATTATTTTTGAACTTTTTACTTACATTAGTAAGAAGGTATAATCAAAATAATGTTTACTCGAAAACCCTTTTCAAGAGTCCAAAATATTTTTCCTACGGGGCGATGTAATAAATGGACTAATGTATTATCTCCGGTCTAGGTGATGTAGTTCATTCAGTCAGATACTCTATAATACAAGAGCTTTAGCTACAAATATTGGAATCTGAGCATTTTATGTGATGTTGTCTTAACTCATCACCAATATAAAAAATAACTTTTATAATTTTAGTACTACATCACGTCACTTAGGGTTTCAAAACAACCTTGCAAAGGGTACTACCACACCCAGACCCGGGACAATAATATATGAAAAAGGTAATTTTCTACATTGACCCGTCCGTAATCGAACCCAGGACCTTAGAGTAGGCGACACCTTCAAACCCACTGGCAAACACTTGTTTAAATGTCAATATTATCTTCAAAACAGAAGCTGTTTCATGTTACCTTTATACAATAAAAAAAAACTTTCTGATTAAATTCTCTTTGCTACCTATTTCAAACATTTAAAATAAACTTAGGACCGACTAACTTTCCGATATTCGCGCCATCGATTAGATTATCAAAACAGGTATAGTACGCATGCGCGACGGCACGCAGTAAACATGTCCACGGGTGCCATAACTTGCCAATTTCTACCTTCTTCGCGTTCCACGTCTTACGCATAATGTACAATGTTTAATTTCCCGATTGCTACATTTTATATGAAAGTACATGGTAGACTTTAGGCTCAATGAAAACTGATAACATTCTTTTGATATTTTAATAATATCATTTTTCTTTAATAAATTTTTGTGTTCTAAATGTTAGAGCAGATAATTCATTTTTTAAAACAATTCGAAATTTCCTAAGTATATCTTTTGTCGTTCCGCAACTCGTATAAGTAAGATACACAGCATAAAAGTAAACTTAGCGACGAAACTTAAAAGGCAGGTTATATAATCAAGAAACTTCTATTGAACTCGGCCGGTTACTGTTAGTAACTTATACAGAACTCCCGGATTTTGGATTTGAAATTAATACACCTAGCAAAAGTCTAGAGTTAATATAAAAAAAAAATTAAGGCCATAAACTTTCATTTTATCATTTGAATATGGTATACGCATAGAACTATGCGTGCCGTAATAACCTGTAAATAAGGCGGCACATGGACTTCATTAATCACCTAATTAATCGTTGAGTTATTTGCATGTACACTTTACACTATTATTTGCATGTGACCTTATTAGCTACTTAAATAAATAAGGTTTTCGCTACATTGTTAAGATTATTAATTTCAAACGCTACTGTTTATAACTTGGACTTTGTGTTAATGATTTTTAAAATTTATTTATTTAGTTATCAGCCGCAGCTGAGTGGACCACCCGTTTCAAGGTGGTGCAGAAAATGGACTTCTCTATATTGTCTCTTTTCTGGGTATCACAACACCCAGTACCTTCGTTACAACTTCGTTGTAGCAGATACTCCATAATAAAGTGACTTTAGCTACCCCTTTTTGAAACTGAGCAATGTGTGTGATATTGTATGTTGTCCAATTTTAAGAAAACTATTAAAACTACAACATTTTATAATAACTATGTATGGTTTGTCCACAGATTGGTGCAGGCCGCCCGAATAGCCTCACAGCCACAATCGCCAACAACCAAACCCACCACGACATCAAACCAAAGCCTCCAGTCATATCTTTCGTTTCGAAAAATCTAAATATATAATCACTATTTTTTTAACCTTTTAACGATAAAACTAAATCGTAAATAGTATACGCTACTCCCAAACAGTACAAATTAATTTAAGTCTGAAGTGATCGGTATTTACAATAAAAAAAATAAAATAAAAGCCTTCAAACGAGCGAAAGAGAATCAACGACCAGTATTTAAAACGTTCCAAAATAACAAATCGTTAAACGAGTGCACAAAATAATTTATCAATCGTTAATTTTGATAACGAACCAATTCCTCGAGCATTTTCTAAAAAGTCAGCCAAAGATTTTTATAACATTTTAGTATTAAGACTTGTAAGTTATTTGCCGCTAAGGACTTTTTACATGATTTATTTGTTAGTGGGCAAACGAAATTATTGTGATTAGTGTAGTGTAAACCAGTGTGCCGTATAATCATAAATTAAGTGCTACTTAGAGAACTTTAACAAATTCAAGTGTAGAGTACAAAGCGAGTTCCAGTGCAGTTTTAGTGTTCAGTACAAGAGAGACTAGAATAAGATTATTTTTGTATACGGAGAGAACGAGGAGCGCGATGCGACCGCGCGAGCGAAGGCCATGAGCGAAGCGCTGCGCAGTGAGGCGGGCGCAGATAGTGCGCACCTACCGCCCTTCTCCACCTTCGGAGATATGGCGGAGAACGAGCAGCGTATCCTCACCGATACGCGGCTGCTCGACCCCGCCTGGGAGTACTACGAACGGGGCGACGCAGTCTCCGTTATCGCCAGCCAGCCGCAATACCGACCCTGGGAGTCTATGCCTATAACAGTGAACTCCAAGGATGCAATCCTCAGGGCCGGCTTCTCCACGCCACTCGACTACCAATCGGTTACTCTGCAGCCTATACCAAACAAGCTGCCGTCCTTCCAGAGCCAGTTTCAAACGTTTCCAGAAACAACTGTTATTCCGGAAACTGGCTTGCCTAGCGTCACTCCGGTGCCTGTAACTACTAGCCCTACACCGAGCGCGAGCCCTAGTCAGTTAACGCAGCTCACGCAACTAACGACGCCTTCTTCACCGGCCCACCTGACTACGCTAGCTCAGGTCACGCCATTGTCAACAACACTTACGACTTTATCGCCGGTCAATGCCACTACATTCCATACGCTAACAGCAGTCAATGCAAGGAGCTATCCGATCGTGCCGGCTCCGCTTCAAGCGAGAGAGCTCACTCCCGCTGGACAAACCTACATTGATGATCGGCATATACAACTCTATCAGCCGAATATTGCGACAATAAACGCTTTCCCAGCTCAAAACGGGATATTACACCAAAATGGAACAATTCTCCATCAAAACGGTAGTTTGTTACAGAACATACAAAGCCCGACTGTAGTTCATGTGCTTAAAAACGAGCCATTCGATGTAAAATCTCTTCAGGACAAGTACACTCCGAATGGTTTACATCACAGTAACTTCCAGAATCCTATGTTAATTGATAATGGATATGAAAAGAAGACAAATGGTTTCGGGAGCGGATCATCACCGACGAGGTCTGACTTTAGAAAGAAGGAACGTCGGAAAATGCGCGCAAATAGTTCAGAGTCAGACGGTTCCAATATGGAGGTTGGGTCGGAGAGCAGTGGACAGGTGGCTGCCGTGTCGTCGACGGCCGGCTTTAAATCACCTATGCACGGAGCTCCACCCATGGCTACGGGCCCCATGGAACTCGACGACATATCAAGTGAGAAACAGGTGAGCAAAACTTCAGTTTGCATATTTTATTTCCATTACTAACAAGGTTATATTCTGAAGCATAACTACCCTAGAATCGTTTAAATATTTTTTTAAAGAATCCTTAGATCTTCCTTTAAAGATAAATTATCGTGCTAAGACGTAATTTTGTGTCTAGATAAATTGAGTAGATAAGGCGATGTCTTAACTTTTTATTAATTCGTCTCGACTTTGCTCGGAATATCCATCACATTTGATTTTCATCGCAGAAACAATGAACATTAAATTAAATTTGACGTATAATGACAGACGTGTCGTTTATGCACGAAAGTCGAACGGTACAATGAAATCGGGTATATCTAGCTTCATTTTCTATGGAACCGACGAATTGCGTAAACAAGCCTCCCGGGATTGGCAACTGGCAGGAATATTCCCCAATGTGGAAATATGAGGATTCCCAGAATTTCATCCGCCTATACACGTGGCGTAGAAAGTGACTGATCCTGTAACAGAAACTTTCGTCGTAATTTCACCTTTTATTATTCGGGGAGCAGTTTTTATTCCCGGTTCCGAGTTTCGGAATGGCCGAACTCTCTGTCTTCGCGGCTATAAATTTAATAGTTAGCCGATTCTCTTGCTCCACCAATAAATTAACTTCCTCTCTCGTTTAAAACACAAATTAAAGTCAGGCGATTTACGCGTGTCCTGCTTAGAAAATTTTATGACTTTCATTCAAATTTTACAGGGAATGCAATTAGGCGGCAGTTTTGAAGCTTTCTGTATTAAGGAACTTCGTTGATTTAATTACGCTTAATGTAAAATTTCTGCGCTTATATTTCTATCGGACACTCGAAAATAGAACAAACTTGATTATGACGGAATAATTTTTCGACGGTAATGTTGTAATAGAACGTCCGTCGGGTTTGTGATCAATAGAAAATTATAATTTTTTTCTAAATTCCTAAAACGATACTGCATTCAACAGTTAATGTTTAATTACAGTAAACAGATGAATATTAGAGATTATAGAAATATTAGAAATTAGAATTGGATTTCTGAATATTAGAAACACTGATCGAAATAAAATAAGAGGTTAACAGTCAAATGAATAACAGGGACTATTTAGTATTATCATTTCCGAAGTTTGATACCCTGTTGAATCAAAAATTTTCACTCTTTCACTCATAGATTATAAAAATATACATAAATATGTATTTATTATCACAAATCTTTGCATTAAGAATATAAAGATTATTATTGAGCAACCTCATTTTCGGGTAAATATTATTTAACTAATTCACGTTGAATCCTTTGGAGGTAGTGTTCAATCACATTAGTCTCCAGAGCAACGCACTCATATGATGCTGGTCATTTGCCTCTGTTGTAAAGAGCTATAAAAAATGATCTAACCTAGCAAAGGTCCAGGGCTTGGCGACATTCCGGTATAAATGTCAGCATTTCCCGGTCTAATAATGAAACACCTTTGCCGGCAGGTGTCCAATATTATCTGTTTACTGTAATTACCATTTACAATTTGTCAATTGTTGAATATTAGTGAAAAACTATTTTTGAGCAGAATGAATTTTAAAATTATCACATTTAATGGAAAAAAAATCTTCTCTTTAAATAAGATTAATCAAATCATTTTTAAGTCTTCCATTTTTTTTTTAGTTTCGTGTTGAGGTCGTCTTTTGCCTGATAGGAAAAGTGTGCAAGGATTTTATATATGAGATGCCTACAATATATAACTAACATTGAATTAAAGGGACTTAATATAATTTTATACATTAATACCACCTTCAGCTTTATTATCCTATGCAATTAAATTGTCTAACCATTTAACATAGATGACACATCTCTTCGTTTTAAGAAACCAACTATTAATTCTTTCCCCGAGGCGTCAACATGCAACAATGATCACAGAAAGGTTTATTGCTTTCCTGTAGACATTTTATGAAAAAGGTTTGCTATTATATTACTTTTAACACATCATTTATATTCCCTGATCACATGTCCCATTAAAGCAAGTCCCTGATATAAAAAAAAATAATATGGCAAAGTTAAGGTATATACCTCGTGTATTCATAAGTTTTGAGACGAAATAAAAGTTACGTAACTTTTGATAATTACCTTATATTTCTAAAATTTTCAGTAACCATTAAGTAGATATTAATCAACAAAAAAATATATATTTTATTCAAAATGACAACCCTTGTTTTATAATACAGGCCCTTAGACGATTTGGCCAGTCATGAATGGCGGCACGAATATTTTCTAGCGGTATTCGCTTTGCTTCTCGAACAAGAGTTTGCTTCAGTGACTCCAAGTTTGGGCGGGACTTTCGGCAGACCCTGAGCTCTAATTCAGTACCATAAAGAATAATCCACCGAGTTGAGGTTGGAGATGGAGTAGGGCCACTCATCTGCCGCGATGAAGTCCGGCACACTCTCCCTCAACCAAGCTTAGGTGCTTTTTGCCTTATGGAATGGCGCCGAGTCTTGCTGAAAAACCCAATCATTATTGTGAAATTACGTATCAGGCTTTAAAATGTCACTCTGATAATTCTTGACTTTCACCTTGACATCTTATTGTCAGAATTGAGGCGAAGTGACACCTTCATACGAAACTCTCCACCACACCATCACACTAGCTGGATGATGAGTGCGCGAGACATTCCGTGCAGAAACACGTACATCCTTGCTACTTTTTGCGTTCACTTTATTGTTTTGTTGATTGAACTTTTCTTCGACAGTATAAAATTTTAATAAAGTTTTTTATGAAGATACTGATACTTCCTGGCATCGTGTCTCTTCAACAGCAATAGACAACTTTCGCGTCATAACTTACGAAGACGAACGTTTAAAAAGTGAACTTTTCTACGGTTATAGGCCCTTACCTTAAGATCATATTTCAGTATTCTGTTCACTGAAACGTGCGAAATATTAGTCTGCGGAGAGAGTTTCTTCTGTGTGCGACATGGATTTCGGCGAAGTAGCTCTCGGATGATTTTGATGTTCGCAGGCGTCCTCACAAAGCGTGGCCGACCACTCCTTTGGCGATCTTGCAGAGAACTTGCCTCTTTGTACCGCTGTATTGTGTAATAGACGAAGTTACGGCTTACAGGAAAATTTTTAGCTCGCGGAAAATCTGCATCGGTTTTTTTCTTGTCGTAAATAGCGAAATGACAGTTGTCTCGTTCCCTCCATCATGAGAAAATATGAACAAATGAATTTGCAATACAAATAAAATGAAAGTTATCATTCCAAATTCAAAATCGGTAAAAAAATAAATAACAGCCAGTAACATTTTATTTTATTTTTTCAGTAAAAAGTTTGTCTCAAAACTTCTGAACACACGAGGTATAGAAAATGTTATTGTGTGTACATGAATGAGTTTATAACTGTAAGATTTTTTGCTTGAATGGAACAAAATAGATTTGAAATAGTGAACCTTTTTAAACTTTTGAAGTCGGTTTTATTTGCTTAAACGTTTAATATTGCGATAGCGCTGCGTTTGACGCTGCTTTATTCGAATAGGGTGCCGAACTTTTGGTGGCAATTACTGAGTAAAATAATATTATTATACAACTCATATTACTAAACGTGATACCCGCGGGCCTCTTTTTTTGTCCCTGAGTGAAAATTTGGAAATTTTTAACCGTCCTTATAATTTTAAAATATATATTATTCGCGAAGATTGTATCTTCATCACAAGCAGCATCAGGTCTTACCTTCGGTACATCATAAATTATCGAGAAAAGTGTTATTTTGAAATCATATCAGCGTATCGGAAATATTAGAAATGTCGTTTTCGGAGAAATACAATTGTCTTACGGGTGTCATGTTAATTCGTACAAGTAGTAGTTAAGATACCAAAGACAATCATCTTTATCATAAAGTAAATAACTATATAATAAATAACTATTTTACTGACGTGGAAACGTATAGTGTCAAATCGTCAGTATTATGTACTGAAAATACTCGAACCCATGCTAAAAATAAGAGCTTACAATGAGCTCCAATTCCTTAAGTACACAAGAAAACTTCCAATATCGCAGTTCAAAGACTTATATATTCGTTGAATCCATTTTTATATCAAATGTGAATGAAATTATTTGTAGCGCGATTTTTATTACTGGATTTATATAAGATCCAATTACATTTAAATGTTAATCATTAAAAAGTATAAGTTATGTATGTAATACGTTGTATTAGAATCGGTATCACTAAGTATTATCTAATGTACTAGGTCATCATTAATCATTGTAGCCCCGAAATGTTCAACTTTTTTTTAGAAATGAATGATTCCTGAGAAAAGTATTCATGGGTCAGATTTGTGATTTGTTTTCACTATTTATTTAAATACGCTTAATGTAATTTTATATTAATTAATGTAATAACGGAACATACCTACTTTATTTTTAATCGACTTCATAAACAAAAAGAAGAAGGTTCTTTATTGGACTGGCATGTTCTTTTGTAAATTCAAAATTATTTTTCCTAAACCTAACCTAACCTTCCTAACCTTCGCCAAACTTCAGCTGAAATTGCTTGAGCATATGATAGCATTTATGTAATTCGTTCTAGTTAGTTCTAAAATATATAATCATTAGATTTTATCTGTGGTGAGAAAATGGGTCTGTACCCAAAACCACTTTTCTCAGGAATCGCCCTACTCTGTGGATTATAACAAGTACAAATTTCCAAATTTCTTTACATAGTTTGTTGGAAATTAATTGGGGAAAACTGAGTCATTCATACACTTATTTTCAAAGAATCACTAAAGATTCTTTGAAATTCAATTTCTGATTCAATCACTGCAGAAAAATATTTTTTCGTATAGTATTGACTTCAGGTGATTGTGCTAATTACATTTATTGCTTTCGATATCCATAATATAAGAGCTGCCTATTAGAGTTTGATTAATGTATACCTAACTGTATAACTTATTTTATACTAATCAAAAAATCTAGTGCCGAGTTCAGTATTTTTCGTGTCATATAAATACTATTTCACAAAATCTCTCAGATAGTTTAAACTCAGTTTAGAACGAATCCAACATAAGACCCATCGACCACATAACCTTTGTATAGCTGCAGCTGTCCGATGACTAGCGATTGTTATCTAGTGATGGATCAGTGCGAAGTGAGCACGATACAAAAAAATAGATTTACCACTCTAAAATTAACCTTAAACTCTGTAAAATAACGTCTTATTTTAAAACTGAAACATCAAAGCTGTAGGCGTGATAATTTTTTCAATTGCAGCTGTTATCTTTGATTATAATTAAGCTCCTTTATTTTAATCAATAGTTATTTGTTTAAGTTTTAATAGTAACAGTTTTTATGTATTCACAGTAAAATAATGGCAAATATACATCGAGAAACTTTCAATAGCCATTGTTATAACAGAAAGCTCTTAAAAACACAAGAAAACGTAGCAAAAGGACGGCAAAAAACAAAAATATTATAGTAAAGGAGCCCAAGCAATTATCAATGCTAAAAAATAGAATATACTATTAAAAACATAATGAAAGAAAGAACAGAAGCAATGCAGATCAGAAATCGAATGAAAACCAACTCCTTGATTGATTCATCACCCTTTATGATCACCATCTATGAGTATTAAACAATATACATTGTAAGGGCCCATCATAAAATTATGTTGCCCAAATGAATAGTAAAGCTAGCTAAATTTGTCATTAAAAACGTGCCCAATTTTATATTATTCCTATATTGTTACAAAATATTTTTTTACATTTGAAATTTTAAAAAAGGCATCTAGAAAAGAAATATTTCTTTTGGAAGTGTTTTGGAAATTTGACATTCGAAGGTGATAAGCAAAAATAATAATGAGAAGTTATATAACACAATTAATAATAACTCGTATATATACCTAAAATATTAATTTACGAAGACTAATATTATAGAGTGCTTATTATAGACTACTGAACCAATATTAAATTTTTTTTTCACCTACGTGAAGTTAAATTATATGCGGGTAGGCTATAATTTGAGTGGGTGAAGTTGCAGAAAAACAGCAAGTATCAAATAAAGTGATGTCTCTAATGATAATAATCCAATGCTATACTCATTTTTAGCTCTCGTTCACACAAACATAGTATTTATTTAGTTCACCAAGAAAGTCAGTGTTGCTTATCAAACAACTCCAATCTTGTCAGTTAGTCATTGTGTGACTCAATGGGGAAAAACCAATATACTTGCTTACCTACCTTTCCTAGAAAAGTGAATTGCTTAATACGAATCAATTATAAAGAAAGGGCTTCCCTTTAAAATTTATAATTATAGCTTAAGTCACCAGTGTATGATGTATCTTCCCGTAAAGAAAATTAATTAATTAAACAAACAAACAATCAAATTTTGTTTCAAATACAAATTAAATATACTAGCAGGTTAAGGTGAAGATATTTGAAAGGGCTTAAGTATGTTGTTCTTGAGAAATGACATGATACCCAATGTTTAAAAGACATGAACAATCGACAAATGTAATTGATCATGTGTGCAGTTCATTTTATATGTAAAAAAATATACATTGGTGCAATGTAATTAATGTGTAATTAAAATATTTGCTCGTCGTCGTGCGTTAACTATACCTTTTAGAGACAAAATGCTTAATTAGATACCTCGTCTGTTCTTCGTAAAAAGTAATTCGTAATTAGACTATTGCAATGACGTTCCAAAGCTTTTATAGAACTATATATGTATTAAATAATTTTTTTTAAGCTGCATATGACTTCATTAAATAAAACTAATTTTTATATAAAAAAATATTGTCAATTAATCAGAAATTAAATAAACAAACACATTTAAAATATATGAAAGAGGATCATTATTGTTTTTATTGTTTCTATACTTTAAAAAAAATATATTATTTTTTATATTTACACTACCGCTTAAAGCTTATGGCGAAATGAAATGAAATTAATTCCACATAGAAAATACTCAAATAGAAATCAGCAATAAACCTGATTTATTAGATAGGTTGACCTTTATCTTTAAAATAGTATTTATTTAAAAAATTTCATAAGTAGGTTTTAAGCTTTTGACCCATCTGATCTGATTGGTCTAAAAAATGAATACATGTAATAGAAAAAATTCGTCAGCTGTTCACCGGGATACGATCGGCGGATCCGACCTCCGATGTCGGACGATGATAACCGTCAGAGCGAAGAAAATTATGTATTTCAAAATGGCGCACTTTTGTTGCCGCGTTACAGCTGTTATTATGCCTTGTCGAAATTGCGTTTAGTTTTCATTGAAAATTTTTTAACTTGCGTTTTGTTTACACAGCTACATAGCTGTTTACATATAAGGAGTTACCTTTTTTACTTCAAATCTATCGATATCTTCATGCCAGACCTCTTGAGGGGTAGGAAGGCTATGAATGTCAAGGAAGCGAAAGAAGTTTAGCCTTTTAGCGCTCGAGTCTTTAAAAAGCGATTCTAGACGTAATTACTAGATACATAAGTTACATTAAGTAAAATATGTCCTAAAACATACCTAAGTATTCTTAATGAATAATGCTTAAAAATCCATTTTTCCCTTGCACTCTGAGATGAGATATTTTTCAGTATAGCCCTGTGAACGCAAAATTGATCAATTATGATAATATAATTAAGTTTTAATTTCTAATTGTAAAGCTCATTATTGCATTTGAAATTTGTAAGACTCTCAGCGTAATTTAACATGTAAAACACAATATCCGACAAATACCCTCTTTAATTTTGTTGACTAACTATTTTGTATCAAAAACTAATCGCTTTCCGTTTTGAGCCGAGAAAATTCTCTTGAATTATTTGCATGCCGTCATACTTACAGAAAAGAATTCAAAAATGTCAGATCACACGTATGATAACTAGTCAGATTAATAACGGTTCACGACTGAACCTCAGGTTTACTAAATCTATATTATAGATATTATACTCGTATACTGTAAATATCCGCATTCCGTATTTGATACAAAGAAAAATAATCAGGATTCAAAACTCAAATATTTTTAACACGTATACAAACTAATCTGTTCAAAAACTCTGTAGTGCTACAAAAGCTTTTTTATGACATTAATAAATGAGTAAACTCAATTTTAATTGCTTAGTCCAATCAGTTTTTGGTCTTGTTCAATCAACATTCATAATTAGACCAGCAACAAAAGAGGTCAGACTGGACAATCTCTTCCGTTCCAATATTTCGAATGGCCAATTGCGGAACCCGTGTTAAACAACGAGTCTGAGTAGTGCTCGTGTATTTTTTTTTATTCTAATGGGTCGAATGCATTGTCCTAAATAAGGCCAGGCCGTCGTTTCGATTGAGTGCTGGCGCAGGACCGAGACGAGCGATTAAATAAGCAGAATGCACCGAAATTGTTTGTCTGGCAAATAATTGCAAACCTTTTTGTTTTGCTGACCGTACTGGATCAAACAATTTTGAACTCTGTCGGTGAAAGAATAAGTTATATTGTAAAATTTTACGATATCAGACTGATATTAGGACACGCGATGTTAAGATCTCTGATATGCCAATTGAAACAATTACCTTGTTTTACATTTTATATTTTGTTAAATTGTACATTGCATATAACTAATTATATAGCGGTAAAAGTTTTTCGGACGATCAAAAAATTCAAAGAAAAACCGACAAAGTCGAGACGAAACTTAAATAGCCTTGTGTAAAACCGATTTTGCTTTACTAAGGTAATTGCATGAAATGTAGTTCCTTGCATTAATTTCACGTGTAAACGTCCAGTTTCACAATGCATGCATTAGTTTCATGAAACTAGATAGTTTCATATCACGCATATTTTTAATAAACCTAGTGTCACGCAACAAATATGTCTAAGATTTACATGGCGAAACTGATGTCGCGACACCATCTGCGCATAATTAAAGCTTCGACGTTAACGTAGCCAGTCAGAGATAATGATTACACGCTATATCGAAACTAGTTTCATATATTCTGAAATTATCTTCGCTAACTTTTTTCAGTCTGCCTGACACTAATTTCGAAATGAAAATGTTAACTTTGATTGCAAAATTTTGTATTGATTATCTATTATAACCACAGACAAAAAAGAAGAGGAAGCGTTGCGGAGAATGTATAGGCTGCCAACGCAAAGACAACTGCGGCGACTGTGCACCCTGCCGCAACGACAAGTCACATCAGATCTGCAAGCAACGACGGTGCGAGAAACTCACCGAGAAGAAGGTAGGTTTCGGCTTCTTGCAACTCACACTAATCATATAGGTTTTAGGACGTCTATGACACTTTTTAGTACCAAAAACTGAACTACACTAATAGCCGGTTTCCGAATTGAAAAAAAAAAATATTTTCAATAACTTTAGTTTTTTTATATCTCAGAAGTATAAAAGTCTTAGTTTCATCAAACTGCTATCAACTGATCGTTAACACCGTTTCACTAAACTAGAAAAAGGCATAACCTAACTAGGAAACGCCTAGTCTCACGAATTGGCTAGGCAGATAAGTTTAATTCCAAACAAACATTTTTTAACTTCTCTTCCTTTACAGATTTATAACTTATCATATGATTATTGTTAGATGGTTCCTAGTCATTGGTGAAATGCATCTTCACCTTAAGCGTTTCCAAAATATTCAAGCAACAGATTTGGGCGACTCATAAGTTTAGTGAAAACGGGCATAAGAAAACTAACGTAACTTAAAAAGTAACATTTAGGTAACAGTTCGACATTCTTGACTTTAAATTCTCAATTTAGTAACCGGGTGTTAGTTTACTGACATTATAAGGAACACATTGAGACGAAGTAAATTTTTCATTTAATTACTTAATTAAAGATAGTCTTAATCATAAAATATTATATGAGGTAAAGCCTGAAGAAAAACAAAATAAAATAAAAAATTACAAACATTCAACGCTACCTAAAATGTGTCATTCTGTAAATATTCTGCGTAAGAAGCGTTGTGTATCATCGGTCCTGGAAGAACTGACAAATATAAGAAATGAGATTCAACCTTATACACTCGGAAAGATACGTCATTTACTAACGCATAAGGCAGATAACCCGACTTTGGTAATTTTAAGGGTTACGAGGAAGCGACACATTACAGCCTTTAACGTTATTAGTTTGTCATAATGCAACATTTTAGAAACTATTCACGATAAAGTTATATATTTATGTATGTGTTAAGAAGAGCTCGATGGCGCAGCGGTTAGATATTCGATTCCATTCATAGGGAAGGCCTGAGCGCCAGCAGTGGGGAATAAACAAGCTGGTGATGAAGATAATGATGATGTATTAGGAATCCAATCTTTTTGGCTATTTGGCATTTCAAGAAGTCTTCTATAATACTACCTCAGTCTCAGCTTATCGAAACCACCTTGACACGCTTTTCAAATCTTTTATCAAATTTGCACCGACCCTAGTCGGCCTCTAATTTTTTTGTATCCAAAATTACATTCGCGACGTTTTGAATTCTTCTCCTTAATATGATTAAAATTTGAATAACGTATCACGTGTTAACCTTTATCAGTATATGCATTACACCTTTCATTTTCATACGGATCATGTTTAATACATAGATCGATAACATTTGCGTTTGTGAAAAAAAAATCTCGAATCGATATTGTGTGAATGACGCAAATAACCAGCATTGGCTTTATGTATATGTCATTTGCATTAATTTATACGATCGCATACGTTATACGCCATTTTGTTGCTTTTTTCACACTATTGAGAGATCTCCGTGGAAAATTTCATGTTTCCTTGTCCTTATATGATATAATGGAAAAGAAAACGATATTCTAATTTTAGTATAATTTAAACACTTAAGTGACCTCAAACTTTTCAATTAAAAATAAGAATTAAAAGCCGGCCGAGAACGAATATTGTATTAAAATGTTTTACTGATTACTTATATTTTAGTGTAGTGAACACGGAGCCTATAAAATGATCTGAAACGTTGTGAACGCAATTTAAAACATGCTAAAACCTGATGAACCATGCTAGATCCTTTCATTTAATTTTTGAAATTTTTTCTTAAAAAAAATATTGCCTGTAATTTTTTTCCAAATTTCAGTTATTTATACTGTATATATTTCAGATTTTTGTAGCAAGATATATCATCAATATTATCTGCGAAAAAATACACTAAAATATTGATAATTAGGGCTAATCACGAAGGTTGTTATCGAGATATTATATATTATTTATTATTATCACAAGTCTTTGAATAAACATTTTATGGTGAAACTAATGCAAAACGCAAAATAGTTCAAACTGTAGTTTTCAATCGAGTGTAAGGTAGTTTATTTTTTAGAAAACAAACAGTAAGTTTAATTGCATGGCGAATAACTAACAATAGGAAGCCATTTACAGGTCCTCGCAGATGATTTAACTCTATTCTAGAATGTACAATACCATAGAGTTTTTAATAAAAACACATTACATAAGTTTCACAACAAAAGTCTTAAAATTTGTTTTTCAATATATAATACTTTTGTGTATATATACTAACATACATCAAAGCGGTTTTGACTTCGTGCCAATCCCTAGGTTTATATTCTGCTTCAAAGATTATTTTCCAAAACTATTTTCCTTCTTACTCATAACATAAAAATTATTGTAAGTTATTTATGATCCATAATATAAATAACACGTAAACTACACTAACACAAATAAATATTATATACCTATAACCGAAGGTTGTCTCACAATCACCAAAACTCAAATTCAACAATTTGAAAATCGAAACACAGAACAAAAGACAACACAATTGATTACCATAAAAAGGTAATAAAAAATATAACAACAGAATTAATAGCCCGTGACAGAATCATTAGTCTTTTCGTGCGACCTATTTTATATCTTTATTTTATACTATCTGCCTAAAAAGCGGTGTAGACGATGAACGTAAGAACAAAAAGGCGAGGACTAATGGATTTTTAAATACAACAGGATGACGACATTAATTTCATGCGTCGCAATAGAAAAATTCATAAAAATAACCATTGTTAGACAAACACTGAAATATTTTATACACGCGCAGCTTAAACGGAATCCGATTTAAAAACTCAGCTCTCATTTGTGTGTTAACTGCGAGACCCATTAACATTAAAATCTCTGAGCAGTATTTTTTTTAGATTCGCGGCCTTAAAGAAAAGCCGGCAAGATTCCGACGCAAAAATAACATTAAACATTACACTTTCTCCGGGAATGGTACGAAAAGGAAGAACTAGGAAATTATCTGAAATTTTCTTTTCGTTGGAGGAAAAAGTTACTTTTTTTTCTTGCCTGAGAGAAAGTGCGAAGCGAGAGGTAGCTCGACTTAATTTACGATTACAAGTTACCGGCTGCGAAGTAAGTTGAGCAAATTAGTTTTAAAACAAGCACCGTAAAGCTTGACTTGGGGGTGGGGAGGCCCCACTTGGGCTCTAGAAATTACCATTATTTAGAGTCTACTTTGCGAGTGCTGATGTATTTATACACCTGACGTTTTATTTATGTATATATACCTAACATTATATAAAAAAAATCTTATTCATCAAGTATAACGTTTCTTTTTTCTTCCAAGTTGATCTACGCAAAATTTTACTTAAGAGTTAACATATCCACTTTGAACTACAAAGTGACCCACAGATAATTTTTTATAATAATAATAATAGAATTACTTAAAGAAATTGAACATTATAAGGGATGTGTTTATTTTTTTTTTTCTATATTGGTAGCAAGATAGCTGTGAAGATTTCTAAATAATTAACAAACGTAACTTTTCCCTTATTCCCTCAATACCTTAAAGTAAGTTTAATAGTGATAAGAGTACAATGTTTTTTTACTTAACGATCGCTAAGCAAAGAGGAGAGTAATAATAGAAACGATATTACCTGTTCTGTCTTAACTTCTAAACTACTTATCATAATTTAGCTATGGAGGTTTTGATAGAAGCATTAGGACCGGATACATGAAGTCACTTTAATTTTCGTTACTCGAGTTTTAGTTCTCAAACATACATATTTTTATTAACTAAAAAGTTTTAAGTAAATACGTTATTCAAACTATCTACCCCATTAAATGAAAATGTATGTATATTCAACCGTTTCCATGTGTTTTACACCTTTTAAAATTTCATCAAACACTTTCAGCTGTTCTTGTCCCTCTATTTGTTTGTACACCCGAACTGTTTTATTTTTTCTTATTGGTGTACGATTATTTATATTGTAGTTCATATGTCGCCCACATTATCTGCGCACGAGCCGCTTATAGCAGCTGCGAGAACGCATTGCGCTTCGATCGACACAAGCTACGCTAGGATTTATCGTTCAATCTGCCTTTTGTAAAGGAAAGGTGTGCTTGATTGATTGATAAATTTTTTAACATAAAAGGAGGTTCAAAACAAATCGTTATTTAAAAATAGAAAATTAATTAACGAAATACTCTTTTTGATAAACTTTTCTTTTTGTTCTTTTCCGAAATCATATTGATGTTAGACCTCATTGTAAAGTCATGCTTGTATAATTTTGCTTATTTAACTAAAACTTCAACATATACCTACTTGTGAATGACTAGCTGGTTTCCCGCGACTTCACTTCAGGTCCAGTAGTTTCGGAGCCTATTCAATGTAAAAAAAAAAACAAATAAGCAATGAAATCTTTCCTCTTTTTAATATAAGTATAGATATACCTACAAAAGATAATACCTATATAGAGTAATTTGCAAATTTTTCCACGAATATTAAGAAATTTGTTTTAATAATTCTAACAATTTATCGCTTGCATGTCTTGCACACATTTTTCTTTGCAATATCAACTAAATTACGACCGGAATTTTAATAAAGAACTCGAATATAAGGATGGCTCTTGTTTTAATATTGCATTCACGGAATAGTTGTATCATACACTACTTATACTTTTCATATTTATCCAAAGAAGAGAAATTGTGGGTAAGTAACAAACTAGACTTTTTTATTACCTACCTTTTGTTACCTTATATCCTCAGATTAGAGTAAGAGCATGACTATAAAATAAGCTTAAAACCTTACAAGGTAAATTTGGCTCTTTCTCGGTTTTCTATTGAACTAAATGTTGCATATACAAACAATTTGAATGACAATGCCAATATTATTCTACATAGCAATGTTTAATCCGTGCAGCGAGCGGAACAGCACTATATAAAGAAAGAAAAAGAATTAACAACATAATATATTAAAGCATAGAATTATTGTGTATGCTATCTGATTCCAATACTGGACTCAGCTCAGTAAAAAGAAACAGG